TATTTCCCATCCGTTTTCTTCAATGTTTTCTTTACTACTCTCTTCTTTTTCTCCATTGTTTTTTTCTTTCTCTTTTTCTTCTTCTTCTTCCATTTTGTAATCTGTTAATGGGAAATTGGTCTTCGCTTTATCTCTTCGGAACCTAAAAGCCGCCCTATCATAAGCCCTGGCAGCAGCTTCCGCTTCGTCAAATGTCCCCAGCCAAACCCGAGCCGCCCGTTTCGGGTCTCGGATCTCCGCCGCCCATTTCCCCCACGGCCTCTGCCGTACCCCCCCTGTAATGCCTCGTCGGGACCCTGGCGGGTTGTAATTGTCGTTGTCGTTGGCTTGGCGGGAAAATGGTGTTGAAATACTCATCGCAGCCGATTAATGGGAAGACAAGTGTCGTTGACGTTATTAGAAGGAAACACTGACGTGGCGGAGTGCTTGCCGCTGATAACGTTCAAGAGGGTGGAGACCATGATCTCATGTTCCTGCTCACCAGTCAACGTCAATACGTTAGGGTTGTTGGTTTCGTAATTTTGCATGGCGTAAAGGGTGTTTTCGGAATCAAATTACAATAACATTATACTCTTGAGTCCTACAATTCAAAAACGAAGCGAGCCAGCCGGACTGAGGGAGCAAAGGTAAAGCCTTATTTATATGGCTATAAGCATCAACAAATGACAGCTGTGAGTAAGTGACGCGCAGGATTGAGACACGTGAGAGTGGGGTCCTGTGGTTCAACCTGGAGCAATCAGCTTATCGCTTGCGTCATCTTGTTCAGACCACGCGGCCCAGCAAGAAAAATGTGTCGTGGCTCAGCTTCAGCTTGACAGCGCAGCACCCGTTGCAAAACTCTGGACTCAACTAGAATCGTACGATTTGGGAATCGAGTTGACATTATTTTTTAAGATTAGTCCAAAGCAAATTTGATTTATATCCAAGTCGAATCCAATTAACTCTATAACTCACACTTCTCTTACACTAATCATTTTCGTATAATTTAATATAATTACTTGAATGTATTAACACATAATTGAAATATTAAATAAATAGTTTGAATAACTATTAAGTATTAAAAATATATTAACTATTTAATAGAAACATGTGGTTTATTTAATGATACAACTTTTAATATAAATTAATCAAGTTAATAATCTAAATCTCAATATATACAATAAATTAATATATAATCTAAACAAAATATAGCTCTGTTTTGAGTTCAAACTTTGGTACATGAATCCTCGTTTTCGTACTTAGATGGCGTGTTACATTGTTCATGTGCTGGTGTCTGCCGTCTTTTTTTCTCCGGCCAAAACATTATCCGTTATGGAAACTAAAGTACTTCATTCGCCACCGTCCACTTTGTGGCCCCACCTCGTCCGCTAATTCAAGGGTAAACTACTCCAATGGTCACTAATATTTAGATAAGTTTTCGTTTTCACCACTGATGTTTTAAAAGTCACAAATCAGTCACTAACATTATTGTTTGTTACAAATTGGTCACTCACCTTTAACAGGCGTGACGGAAAACACACGTAGACTGTTAACAGCCGTTAACAGGCTTACCTGGATGGTATAATTACACAAATAGTCCATGTTGTTTATATTCTTTCAATTTGATCATAATTTTAATAAATTAAAATAAATTTACCTACGAATCAGGAGATGTCATGTGTCATTGGTTACACAAGTTATCATGTGTCACCCTCTGGTTGGAAAAAAATAAAGCAACAAAGAAGCAAGTGAGGGATCGAACATAGGACCCTTAAGTAAAATATTATAAGCCAAACCATTAAGCCAATGCGACCATTTGATAAATTTTGGACAACAAATGATATATATCTTGTATCTTAGTGTGTAAATGATTTACTCAAAATTAATAATATGTTATATATCTTAAATTTTAAAATTATCTCCTTATTTTAGTTTTAACTTATTAAATATTTTTATTTTTGTCTTAATTTATTAAATATATTTTGTATATATTTTAATGTAAAAATATATATTTTATCTTTATTATCACTTAAAAATATATTTTTTTAAATATCTTAACTTGCAATAAATTTAAATATTTTACTATTAAATTAATATAAAAAATATATATTTTACTCTTATTTTTAATTAAAAATATTTAATATTTTAATATATTTTTACAAGTTAATATAATTATAAAATATATTTTTAATTTAAAATAAGAATAAAATATAATTTTAAGTAAAGATAAGAATAAAATATTAAATATTTTTTAATGATACTTTTCTCAAACTCGATCATGTTTTAAAAGTTTTATGTGAACTGCTACACATTGAATGTGATTTTGTACTGTGAATCACGATAACCCCATGACTAAAATTAACTAAATCTATCTCAACTCTTCTATTAACATTAAGTTTGAACTCGTATCATGCCTAAAAAATTATTAAAATGCAACATCTTAATCATATCTTAATCATATTTAGAAAAATAAAATTGTTATATTCAATAATTATATATTCTTTATTATACTTAAAATCTAATCGAATCGGGTATGATTACGTTTTAACTTGAGATCATCTTTAACAAATGAAAATATAAATTAAATCAGAAAAATAATGTCAAAAAATTATTTTAAAAAATGATAAATATAACAATTTCCGATAGCATTTAAAATCATTGATCATTAAGAATAATATTAATAAAATTGTCGGAAGTTGTTGATGATTTTTTTTCATCTTTTAATAATTTTTAGATTGATTTTTTTTAATAATTTTTAGATAGGACTGTAAGAAAATAGAAGTATAAAAACTAAAACGAAAATTTTCAGAAATTATCATTCAAAATGACACAGTAAGTTTAAGTCGTATCGTAAAACTTTGAAAGATTATAAATTTAAACGTTTTTAATATATATATATATATATATATATATTGAAATTCATGGGCACTGGGCAGACAATGAGTCAAAGGTACTTTATTATTATTTTGTCCTGAAAAATATCGTTTTAACTTTTATTTTTTATTTTTTTTTATTTTTATAACTAATTTTAAATTATTGTTTCCTTTTTTTAAGCCGTTGGGCTTAAACATTTAATTATTGTGTATAAAAATATATATCATTATTTATAAGAATTAAAAATAAATATATATTAATTTATTAAAACTATTATCAAATTGAAATAATATATAAATAACATGAACTATTTGTGTAATTATCCCATCCATGTAAGCCTATTAACTCCTGTTAACAGTCCACATGTGTTTTCCGTCATGCTTGTTAACGGCGAGTGACCAATTTGTAACAAACGATAACATTAGTGATCGATTTGTAACTTTTGAAACATTACTAGTGAAAACAAAAACTTACCTAAATATTATTGACCATTAGAGTATTTTACCCTTTTAACCATTTGCCGCTCACCTTTTTCACCATCGCTTCATCCGCCATTTCCGAGAATGGATCGGTTCATAAAACAAATCTTGGACTGGTTGACCCCTAAGTTTGTCATTGATTTGGTTCTAGAATGTCGGTCATTTATTACATTCCCATCATGGTTTTAAAATATATGATTATGGATTAATTAGTTCACATTTTGAAGCTTAGGTGGGGATTCTCCGACGCGGTGAGTTGCTCATCACTGTCTACTCTGCCTTAGTTAGGGATGAGACGAATGAGAGCAATAGTCCCTGCAAAATTTAAATTAGTCTCTAAAAATATCAAATTAATATATATTTTATGTTTTTAATTAATAATTTATTTTCGTCACTTAAAATTTATAAGCTCAATCCTTTTGAAAAAGTTAAAAATCCTTCATCTAACATAGAATAAAGGTCCTTGTTTGAGGATGAAAATGAAATGTTCATACGTTTGAAGGTTAATTTAGAATTATAATCATAGTTTAGGGATTAATTTAAAATAAGAGTCATAATTTTAAGGATGTGTGATACAACTAACTCATTTAAATATTAACAAAGCTAATAACATTGTTCTTAATTTATTTATATTTTTATTTCAATTGGGTTGGATCTGGATATTGGGTAATAGGTATTGGAATTTTTATTTTGTTTCGAGTTTGGCCCAGTTTTATGAATTTTCTAAAATCAATATAATTTTAACAAATAAAAGCATATGACTGAAAATTGCAACCGTCGTTAATGCTTTATATTATACTTGTTTTGAGAAGATCAATGCTTTGTAACCATACAGCTGAAAGGGGAATAACTTAGCTGCTGTACTCAGTTTATATCGAATAGCTTTAAACATGTATTCTTCTCAGCCTTCAAATACCAAGAACCAACTGTAAGACTCAAATCTCAATCCTCTCTTCCCATTCTTCTTGTTCCATAAATTGTAAATTGTGTTATTTGGATTTAAAACAATTCTGGAATATTATTATATTTTTTTAAAATTGATAATTATATTTTTTTCAGAAACTGATATCCGATGGGTCAAATGAAATTTTAACGAGGTTTCTCATAAATGTTGGGAAACAGAATCAATAATGTCTTATCTTGAGTCTCGATTGTCTGTGCAGATGATAAAGAGAACATGCAATCGAAGTGCAAATAAAGTGTCAAAAGATGTCTTTCATTAATTTAAGCAATAAGCATAAACCTTAATTGCTCCAAAATCCATTTCCTTTCACCAAAGCTATGATGAATTTGTCTAAAGGAATTCAACTCCGATGGTGGCTTTGGGGTGTGGGTTGAATTTATTTCCATCACAGCATGAAAGGAGGATGGATTTGATGATTGTTAAATCTTCCATTACCATTTTGGATCAAGGTTGAAGGTTTCAACTGAAAGAGGGTTTGGTTTGGTTTGTTTTGTTTTGTTTTTCTTCTACTCTGTTGTGTAAAAGAAAAAAGAGAACATGATGCCTTATTACAAAAGAAAGAGAATGACTTGAATAGTTATATGGATTAACATCATTGGTTGGGCCCATAGTCTATGTGATAAATTTTCATTTGTCTGCCCATGAATGAAAAAGCTAAGCTCGATTTCGTCAAGACGAAGGATTCTCCGTCAAAGAATTGGAAAAAATAAAGAGCTGCAATCATAAGTCCAGCAGAAAGTAAAGTACCTTAAACAATGTAAAACTGGGTTTTCCTTTTTATAAAAATTCTAACCGAACATCATAATTGTAGTTTGTTGATGTTCGGTTACATTGATGACAACTTCAGCGCTTTCTTGTTTTCCATAAGCTAAAAGGCATCAAAACATCCATTACATACTCATGAGCTTTGCCGCACGGAACAAGCAACCACCTGCGCCCATTGTCTCAGCCTTGTCTTCACCATCTTTGGATTATCAGCTTTACACAAAATAAGGATAAAATCAGGAAATTTTTAAAAAAAATCCAACAAAATTAGTCTCTTTTACCAAAAAAAAAACTTGATTTTTCCGGTGATCTCAAATAATGATCTAATTCAGTAATGAATCGATAAAGACTAACCGATCGAATTACGTTTTAAAAGAATAATGATTTGAATCTATTACTTACCGGGGCCAAAGATGGCGTGGGGGCTACCTATAGGGAATGAAATGTTGCTATCACAATCCGATGCGGCTGACGGAGACAGCGTCGTATGCTTTGAGATGGCGTCGTTGTAGTTCTTGTTAACAGCCTGGTAAAGGCAAAGAGCAGGCAAAGTATCCGACAAACGTTGATCTACTTCAGGGGAATCAAACCCGAACCCCAACTCAATACATGCCTTGAGCTCATCAAGATCTTCGTCTGTCACGCTCTTGCTTCGCCGGTTCTTTCTGTTTCCTTTCTTTCTGAGCCATGCCTCGTCTCGGATAATGTCCGGTGACCATGATTGCTGCTTGTAGAGAGGAATCGGAGGAGTTTGTAGTTTTTCTCGTGGTGGTGGCGACAAGGTAAGAGGTGGGGAGGGTAATGGTGGTGGTGGTGGTGGTGGCGAGTGGCCGGGATAGGACATGGATTCAGCTTTCCCAAGGAGGTCCGGGGGACCTCGCCAGCCGGCGTGGAGAGCTCTATGGCTTGTGGAGATTTTGGGGTATGGTTTTAGAAGTGAAGAATAAAGGTTAATGGGTGATGAGATATAAAAGGTAGGGAGACGGTGGCTGGGTGGGGTTCAAGCTGAGAGCGTTCTGATTGGAAGTTGACTCAGTTACCTCGTAACTGATATAATATATGAACGACATATAAAATAAAAAATTATTAAGTCATTTTAGTAGTAATAAAGTAAATATTATTTATTTTAAAAATTAAATTTAAATAATTATATTTGTTGGCTGTGTTTTTGTAAATGAGAAGAAAAATTTCAATATACTATTTTCTTGAAGTGAAATTATTTTTTAAAAATATTTTAAGAATACTAATGAAAATATTTATTTTTTTTATTTTTTTGAAATAATAAAATAGTAAGATTTAAAAAGAATTTTATATCTTTTAAATTAATTAAGATGTTTAAATATTATGAGACGGATGTATACCTGTATATCGAAACTACTGTCCATTTATGTGCCCATTGGTCATTCAAGTATTAATTTTTTTTACGTAAATAAAAGTAGATAGTTTTATTAGAAAGGAAAATTTTAAATTACAATAAAAACTTACAATTACAAGCGTAAATTAAACATATAATTAGGAAATTTCCTATAAACATTGACACGAAACTAATCACTTCAGATCAAATAAATACTATATAAGGAAAAGTTTAAAAAATCTATCTAAAAATCTCGAACAAAGTAAAGATACGAATAGATATGATCGAATTGGCAAACGAACCACTACATGAGATTAAACTACTGAAAGATCACCAAGAATCACGTATTAAAGTCAAGTGTCGTGAGAAAATTATCTCTGAACGTAAAGCACATATCTAAGTTCGTCTGAGGATCCAAAGCAGGGCAAATCAATGTGATAACAAATAAGCATCATCTTAATAAATTGCGATGATATCAAATCCAATATAAAGAAATTAAATAATGAGATCGATCAAGCAATCGATAAAAAAAAATTAAACGTGCCAAAGTGCTAACAAAAATGTGTCGTAAAAGTAAAAAATATTATAATGATAGATTTATTTGAAATTAAAAAATTTAAATATGTGAATAAAAATTGACAACCAGAACCAAGATTGATACCGCCGTTTAATTGATATAGACGAAGGCAAGCCGCGCAAAGTTTAAAAGAAAAACTAGGGCGCCATAGAATAAGAGTATTTTCCGGTAAATTCAGTAAAGTATTAAATTAGTTCTATTTTGATCATCAAATTGAAGGGGGGGGACTAATGTTAGGTAACATTAAATTCGTTGTACTGATTAATTAACGACCAGTTACCTCATTGATTCGATCACTTGTTTAGCTCTTACAACACTAGTATACATAAACGATATTGTTATATTACATTAAATTCGTTGAATCGGAATTCTTACATTTTTGTTAAGTGATAAGATTTATGAGAAATTCTAGCTGATTTCTCCAAGATAAAAGAAATTCGTTAGGTAACCCAATTCGCAGCCCGTACGACACGTAACAGTGTCGTCTAATGAAGGTTCTTCAAAACTTCTTACATGTGGAACTTTTATGAAAAACAAAGTACATATTAAAATTGTTAAATATAAAAATGTTCCAAGAGACTTCAGGGGCAAAATTCAACCTACATGGGTTATATATTTGACCCAATTCAATTTCACAAATCAGAAATAAATTAAATATATAAGTTAGTCATAAGACATCAAAATTTTAAAATAAGATTAAAATTCAAAATTTTCCACATTATAAATTAAATATTGATAATTATATTAAAAATTAAGTGAAATATTAATAGTCTTGAACTCATCAAATAGCCCGAATGATAAAAATATATATTTTTGTCATTAAAAGTCAATAATTCAAGTAATATTGTCAATTAATTCTAAACAAACATTATATTATAATCATTCAAATTGTCTTAAACATTTACGCCTACGCGCCACCACCCATGCATATGACTCATACAAAGCGATGATATAAAAATGGGTTGATTGGCGGCACTTGAAATTTGTTTAATTGGAATGAGACAAGCATATTAGGGTTTTTTTTTTTTGGGAGTGGATCCATGAACACAAGTCTATATAAAGTGATTTTTTGTTTGTTTCAACGACATCATATCTAACAAAATTGTAAAACCTGTTTTATTTTAATATTTAATTTATTATATTCTCAATTGAGTTAAAATAGAGTGACAAAATATTTGTGTTTCTATTACCAGATTCAAAGATTTTTTTAATTAGGTTAACTTTAATTCCTTAATGACAAGGATCATGATCTTCTAAACAATAAATTTTTATTTTTAATATAATTAATTATATCACAACTTAAATTGTGATTTTTATTCTATTTTTATTTTTTTGAATATTTCAATTTTATTATTAAACTATAATTCTTTTTTTCTAAATCAATCCTTGATTTTTTAACATTTTAATTTCATGTTCAAACTATCGATATATACTTATCACTTTTATGTTAATAGAATCGTTAAAAATATGGCAACATTCATGTAGACATTGATGTGTGTATATAACATTATGATGTATCACACCTTCAAAATTATTATTTATAATGAAATTGAAATGTTCTTTAGTTTTTGTTTTTATTATCTCAATTTTCTTATATATTTTTACGTTTCAAAGTTAAATTAGTGTTTATATGGTAATTAATAATTTATGTAATGGTTTTATTAATGTGGGACATGATTAGCATATGTCGATAATTTAAGGATAAAACTAAAATGTTCAAAAGTTTGGATATTTATTTATAACGAATTCACAGTGTGAGATGAAATTTGAGTATTCAAAAGTTTAGGAGTCAATGTAGAATAATAGTCACACTTCAAATATATACTATATCATTAACTCTTTTAGTATCAAGTTAGAAAGAGAGAGTAATAGTAAAATTGTATTTTTACCTAAAAAATTATATAAAATTTAAATTTAGTTCTATTAAAAGTATATAATTATAAGTCCAAATAATAATAAATTTATATTTAAAAATTTTATAATTGATTTTTTTTGCTTGACTCTGATAACTCTTATCAAGAAAATATATATATTATTTGCATATGAAAACAAATGGATGGAAATTTTCTCTCAAAATTTCCATTGGACCGGATCGCCTGAACCATTTTTTAAGGGGAAGCAATAAGAATGGATTATGGGCATTACCAAATGGCCCAATCTATCGCTTAAGTTTCATGTATTAGAAATAAAAAAGCATAATGTCAAAATTAGCCCCCAATTTTTATCAAAATAGTCATTTTGCCTCATATTATATTTTTTGGAGCATTTTAGCCCCAACATTTTATTTTAGAGCAAAAAAGTCCCTAACTTTTGACAGAATAATCATTTTTTCTCTTATTCTATTTTTGGGGGGTATTTTAACCCTCAATATTTTATTTCAAGCTAAAAAGAGCTCCTATTTTAGAGCGTTAGTCGTGTGTTAACTAATAGTTTTTATTTATAGAAGGAGTTTTTTGTCCTAAAGTGAAACGTTGGGGGTCAAAATGCTCCAAAAAAAGAATAAGAGCCAAAATAATCATTTTAATAAACGTTGGAGGATATTTTTGATATTATGCCAATAAAAAAGTATACGCAGGTCATAAACTTAAAACATGCCCGAAAGTATGAAACATAGAGAACATATAATTAACGAGATATTAATTTTGAGCATCATAAAATTATTTTAATATTTTCTATAGTTAATCCATTTTTGAGTATAACCTTATTCTGTTTTAATTTAGAATATAAACTTTCAAATTTGTCTTTTCAAAAAATAATTTTATTTCGTTTTATGATTTTATAGGTGGTCAATCGCATCTAGACCAAAATGACTAATATCAACTCGATTTTTAGTACATATCTGCATTTTTTTGAAAATTTTACCGTCACGCTTAAAGAATAATTTCAACAATTAGACGACTCAACTATTTTTTTTTATAATCAAATCATGAGTTAAATATATATTGTCTTAATTTCTAAAATTTGCAAATTCAACTTTAATATTTAATTTGTGATTTTTTATTTTAATATTTTTCAAAATATTTTTTAATATTTTTTTGCTTGGGTCCTATTATCATTTTGTAAATAGTTGTATTAAACTTTTCATTTTATTATTTCCAACACCTTAAAAGAACTAGAAAAAACTATTTTTGTCATTTATCTGTGAGTTTTTTCTTACAAACTATAACATGCATTTGCATAACATGAGTTGAATCTAGGGATTGATGTAAAATTTTATGTTAGGAATGATTTTTTTTTAAAATTTTAAGAGATAATGAACTTATAAATTTATAGGGGAGAAATTTTCAATAAAAAAAGACAGAAAAATCTAAAATATATGATAATTTTAAATTTTTAGGGATGACTACCTCCACCTGCCTCTTTTGGTCCCTGGTTTAATTTATATCTTCGTGCATAACTCTTTGTGCAAGATACTGAATTAGGTTATATGTTGTAATACTTCCACCCGATCTAATTAATTGTAAATTAGATTGAAGATATCATATTAACTAATCGGATTTAAAATAGAATCGAAACAAAAATGAAATGAAATGATTACACTAACAAACAATCGTGAGACATTATTTTATAGGTTAAATTAACGATTATAATAAAGTTGAGAGTTCTATAACAATTACACTTATCAAGAGGAATTACGACCACTAATATTTTCGAATAGCATGAGTTTATTAATTTCAAAACACAACAAGAACATTATCAACTCTTTTAGGTATGTAAATATTAACCTACGTCAGGACTACAGTTGGCGACACCGATGCATTCCCGGTGGAAATCGGACTCCACCAAGGGTCGGCTCTTAGCCCTTACATCTTCGCTTTGATTATGGACGACATCTATTGTGCGACACCAGACGGTGTTCCATGGTGTATGCTTTTCACTGACGACATTATCTTAGTGGCTGAAACAAAAACTGAGCTGAATAGTAGACTGTCTACCTGGAAAACAGCTTTGGAAGAAAAAGGTCTAAGGATCAATATTGAAAAGACAGAGTATTTATGTTCAAACTTCAGTGGGAACCAAAACGATGAAGATGTAGATATATGCTTAGAAGG